TAATCGATAAAGCTACATTCATAGCTAGCAGAATTCAGCCACTGACTAATGCTTTAAGTATGTACACGACTTAAGATTGGCATCCTTTTCATTTCTTAATGATTTTTTTCAAAATTCTGGAAGATGATTTGCGTCTTGACACCTCGAAAATCATGCTTTCAAAATAGTTAACCTGTCTATGCGACCTAAAAGTATTGCGAAACGTGGAACACAAAGCACAAAAGTGAATAGAAGATTTTGTTATGAAGCTTCGAATGCACTGCTTTATTATTTTCTAGCACACCACTCCTTAATCCTCTTGTTTTCTTCTCAAGCGCATACTTTCAAGCTAAGCGCGCATAGACGAGTATTTTGTTGGTTATGCTCCCTAATTCATTACTATCATATATGTCTACACTCGAAACTTTGAGCTGCCACGATGAATTAGACAGTATGACAATTGCCATTTCTCTCGTCGAATCGAGGGAAACCCTGTCTGAGAGGTCGCATTCGGTGCTGTTATGCCGGTCTCTGCTCCCTATTCCGCTAACCAGCTGCTTTTGCTGACCACCTTTAGGATTGATTCGCCAGCAGTTGTGCCTGGCACACTTGGCAGACTTCTTTTCTCGGCCATTTTCTTCCTTCCAACTTCTTAGCCTACTCATTCTTCTTTGTCCTATCAAGGTCACGTCAGCTTTCATTTTCGTGGAATCATCTGATTTTGCTTTTGAAAGAAGCAATAGATAAAATGCATTGACAATTTGTAAACTCACTTCCGTTTTTTTTTCTTTTTGTTGTAGTTAATGCTAAATCAGAATAGATTAGCAGAATTATATCGTTCGGATCGAGGCCAGGCACCATTTTCCCAAAAATTATAGGGACTTACGCTCTATCCAGATCAAGTGCACTAGTTTTCGAGTGACTCGCTAGCTTTGGTTGTCTATCCCACCTTCTTTTAAAATGCTGACCTCTATAGACTCGTCCCTAATCCATGCTCGTTTCTTTGACCCGCTGTAAGATAAACTGGTAGGCAGGCTACTTGTTGCAAACTTGGCACAAACATTTTCTTGCTCCCATCCGAAAGATCGCAAGGACTACATGTTCCGAACAAGCTCACCTTAATCCTCTTTTACAGCTAGATTTGCTTTCGAGGAAAACGGTGGTTTTTTTTGAAGAAGAAGTAAGAACCACAATCATTGCATTTACAATGCGCACAGCGAAAATTTACATAAGCTAAACAGACCTTCCAATTAATAACTGCTTTTGTCCCCTTGATTGTGTCTCGGACAGCGATTTCCCAGTGTGGTTGGTCACTTATGTAGAAAACTAAACTGTCGCGATACGTGTTTAGATTTCTTTAATTAGCCAACTAGCTTTTAAGATTAACACACGGTTGCGGCAAAAAGGCCATCCATTTGACCAAACTTGAAAACTGCTGGAGAAATTAACACTCTCTCTTCATCTTACCATTGATATCTCTATATTTCATTGAGCAAGATAAAATTCTAATCTGATTTAAGATCTCTGCAGTTGAAAACAGTTTTTTCACCCGAAAGGAGCTTTATCACTTTTTTCAATCTACAATACAGATTGGACAGGATTTCCCCAGAAAATCTAATAGATGACAAGTTTTTTTGGCATCAAACAGTTCTAAATGATTGAAGTACGCAAGACATGTGTTTCGTCTTTCTCGATACTATCAGTGCAAAACTAAATCAAGTCTGCGCCATTAGCTGTTGGCAAGATACCGTACTCAGCGATCGATATTGATTGGGCTCACCAGCTGTAATAGTTATGGCCGTTGGATGGCGATATAGATTTGCTCGGGCCCCATATGATGCTCCCAGACTAACCGTTAAAAATGCGGGACTCATCTAGTTTGGAGAAATAAGGAAGACTTAGAGAAGTCAAAAGAAGAGCTACTGTAGATAGCAAGACACAGTTTTTCCCATTCTTTACACTATTTACTTCTTAACCCAGATTAAAATTCATGCTGTTTATTGCGCATGGCAAACTTGCTTTCCTTTCATGATGTTTGGTATCCAAATTTCATTCTCAAGAAACAGCATTAGTGATTTAGATGCTACTGTTACTAGCAGTACTTCTCCTGCAGACATTTGCGGTATGTGGCAAGGATCCTGAGCTAGTCGTATTTACAGTAGCTACTGAAGAAACAGATGGCTTGCGCCGTCTTCTCAAATCAGCGCATGAGTTCGACTATAAAGTGAAAGTGCTTGGCCTCGGAGAAGAATGGAAGGGTGGAGATACTAGAATTGGCGAGGTAATAAATGTTCAGCCGCTAATCATGGCCCTCTCTGAACTAATACGACTTGCTCGCTTCTAGGGTGGAGGACAGAAAATTCGGTTACTGAAGGAAGGATTGAAAGAGTATAAGTCCCGCGACGATGCAATCATCTTGTTTGTTGATGCGTAAGTTTGAACTGTTCGTTGTAACTAATTATGTTTGAGCCATAAACAGTGGATAAGAACAATGTAAACTAATTAACGCTATGAAGATGCAGGGCTCTACCTAAGAACTTTGAGATCTGCTCTTAGGGAGACTTATGCTGGAAATTCCCCCAGTCTTAATTCATGCTCGTGTGCGATACTTATTACTTATTTAGTGAAGAATCCTGTTTTCATTTTTCTCCCAGAATAATCAACGACATTTCTGAAGATGTCATTGAAAAGATATATCAAAAAAAATTAAAATAAAAGGGAATTTTTATGGATAAATAGGCACAGTTTACACTTTACCCATTCAAATG